CTTTGTTTTTGTTTCTGGCCTTGACCACCCAACTTTTGAGGATTATGATATGAAACTATATTTGTTTTTGTTCTGTGGTTGTTGCTGTTAGAGGTTTTTTCTCTAGAGTTTTTACTCTTTTTTTGTTTATTATATAACATGTTGAGGGAAGGGGGAATTCTGTTCCCTTTCAATATACCTTCATTCTACTGTTGAACCTGGAAACTCAAGGCAATAGATTCTGTAAGTTCCCACACAACAGGTACATTCACAGGTATATGACAAACCTCCAGAGTAAAGGACACAACTACAACTCAGACTTTAACCATACAAAGGCAAACTGTGTAACCTAATCATATATACTCTAATATTAATCTGAAATTAAAAAATTAAATTAGAAAAAAAGAAATATCCTTCACATAGGGAAAATGAGTATATTTTTTGTTTGTTTGTTTGTTTTTGTTTTTTAGACAGAGTCTCACTTTGTCACCCCTAGTAGAGTGCTTTGCTTTCATAGCTCACAGCAACCTCAGACTCTTGGGCTTAAGCGACCACAATGCCTGGTTATTTTAAGAGATGGGGTCTCCTTCTAGCTCAGGCTGGTTTTGAACTTGTGAGCTTAGGCGATCCGCCTGCCTCAGCCTCCCAGGGTGCTGGGATTACAGGCATGAGCCACAACAACTGGCCCTGGGAAAATCAATCATTAAAATATACAGTGTCCTCAGCCTTGATATTGCAACAGATCTCAGAAGAAATTTTCATAAAGTTGTTTTATGCAAAATTCCTCAGTGACATTTTACTTGGTAGAGACAGACAAATACTAAGTTTTATCTCAAAATAAAGAGAATCTTACAGGTGCAGAAACAAATGGTAAAATAAATTGCTTTCTAACTAAGCTAAATTACTTGGTTAAATGACATAAATTGCTAAGATAAATTATTTTTTAACATAATTGAAAAATTAGACTCACTAGAGTGGCACATAATTTAGTTTAATATGAATATTTATCACCTTGAAGAATCTTTCTAAAAATGCGGATTCTGATTCTGAGAATCTTGCTTGGAACCCTCAGGTTCTATATTTCTAAGAAGCTACTAGGTAATAACCAAGACTGTTGTCATACCATACTTTAAGAAAAGAGATTATAGGTAATGGTAAACTCAAAGCTCCTGTGCTTGACTCAAGACAAGGAACTGTGCCTTCTGTTATCAAATGAAGTCACTGAATAAAAATATCCCCCTAATGTATTCTTTATTGAATAAATGAATCAAATGAATGACTACTAGGGGCCGAGTGAGTGAATGATAGAATTAATATTCTCCCTTACAATCTAAAAGCGTAACTAAAATTTTTGATCAGATGAAAAACTACTATACATCACACAGCTACCTTGGACAACAAAATATTACTTCCCAAATACTTAATTGACCTCAAAATATTAAATATCATTTAAGTGAAAGAAATATATGCAGTAAGTATTACCAGTTATCCATTCCAGTGTTAGAAAACCTTAAGTAGTGTTACTGTAGTGCAACTGATTTTAAGCTTTATGACATCTTTATGGGTCTACCCAGTGGAGTTATCTGTGAAATTTACCCTCACTCAGGTAACTGAACAAATTGCCCCCCCTCCCTCTATTGTTCATGCTAGAGTGCCTTGGCATTAGCCTAGCTCCTAGCAACCTCAAACTCCTGGGCTCAAACAATCCTCCTGCCTCAGCTTCTCATGTAGCTGAGAGTACAGGCATATACATAATACCTGGCTAATTTTTCTTTTTTAGTAGAAATAGGTTTTCCTTTTGTGTCAGCTGATCTGGAACTCCGGAACTCACAGGATACTCCCTCTTTGGCTTCCAAGAGTGTTAGGATGATAGGCATGAGCCACTGTGCCTGACCAAAATTTACTCTTTAGGCTAGAAGTTTTTAATTGCTGGCTGCATTTTATTTATTTATTTATTTATTTATTTATTTATTTATTTTTTTTTTTGAGACAGAGCCTCAAGCTGTCCCCCTGGGTAGAGTGCTATGGCATTATAGCTCACAGCAACCTCCAACTCCTGGGCTCAAGCGAGTCTCCTGCCT